CACACACACACACTCTAATCAGGCTCGCAGTGCCCAGCTCCATCTGATAAGACTTACTCTCTGATATTTTTTAAGCTCTGACTCATGATCTCTAGCTGACTGCAGGCAAGGACAGCAGAGATCCTTGGTGTGCAATCCTCTGCCCGTCACTTCATGCAATCCACTACTCTTCTCTTGCAATTTCCCAGTACACATGTCAGATGACCAGTGGTCAGGGACATATTTGCACGATTTCCTCTGATGTGATGTTCACATGGTGAAGACTTCATGTGTGATAGTTTGGCTATTTTTTTTATTACAGTATCAACAACCAACTCGTTTTCCACTGAACACCCCAAAGAGAAAAATTCAAGTTCTACCATGTGGAAACTCCCTTTCAGACAACACATCAAATGGTGTTAGTCAGAGGTGACAGTGGGAGAAGTTCTCTGTTGTAATGTGGACCTCTTTTGCTAATTTGCAGCTAATTATTATTTTTTTAAATTCTTGGATTTGGCTAGAGCAGCTTCGCATAACTCAGATTTTTTTTAAACCTCATGCTGAGCCTTGCTGCAGCCTCTCAATTCATCTGCTGTCTGAAACAAGCCATTTTGGCTCCTTTGCTTTCAAGGCCAGCCTCTCTTTGACCTAACTTACTTCTGATAGGATGCCTCTTATAAACAGGAAGCTTGAACAGCAGTTGGGTGGCTTCCATACGCAGCAGACCTGTGTGCCTGAGGATACCTTATTACAGATAATCACTCTTATGAAAATCATATAGAGTCATTAATAGAAAAAAAAGTGAAGCCTGATCTTTAGGCTCACGTGGATTGCTTCAATTTTATCCGACACTTGGCCATGTTTAAGTGAATATTATCAACTTTAAGACTATAACAGAAAAAAATGAAAACATAATTGATCCACTTTCATAGCTCCCCATTATAATGTGCGTTCTAAAAAAAGGAGGCAGTATGACTAAAACAAAAACTCATGACCAGAGATGGGCAGTAACGCGTTACTGTAATCCGATTACTTTTTTCAAGTAACGAGTAAAGTAAGGGATTACTATTGCAAAAAC